ATATATATATATATATATATATATATATATATATATATATATATATATATATATATAAATATATATAAAGCTTTTACCTCCCTGCCCATATAATCACTTCAAATATATCTAAGCTGGAACTAAGCTCAGAGCAACATTAGATTTTAACATTTAACTGAATTTTTGGCCTTTCAATAAAAAACAAAATAAATAACAAAACGTGTATTTTTTAATCAGTTTCTTCTTTAAATAATTTTATAATTATTTAAATTTAATACAGATTAAATTTAAAATTTAAAATTGGTCATTTTTTATTTTTAATTTTATGGTAAAATTTAATATTAATTAATTAGAATGCTTTCTATTTTAGTCTAACCCTAACATTAAAGCATTAATTATTACAACTAAGGTTGGTTGTCAAGTTTTTTGAATTCTCATCTACTTGTATTTTGATTGGTCATTGCAGCTTATGTAACTGCGTTTCCCTTATTGAGCGGTGGTTAATTTATTTAAACCTTTTAAAACCTTTTATTCTACATTCAACATCATCACTTGATAAGACAGCAGAGGTTTTGAAACAAAATGGCTATTTTGGGAGTGATTTTATAACATATTTATGATGTTATAATTTTCGAATAAATAATTACACCCCCGCTCCAAACACACAGACACACACACACCCTCCCATATATATATATATATATATATATATATATATATATATATATATATATTATAAATTAATTGATTTAAAATATGTTTTTTTTCGTTACACACTTCTAACCATGTATATATATATATATATATATATATATATATATATATATATATATATATATATATATATATATATATATATATATATATATAAAAAATATATAGAAAATAGGAAAGAACTCGTTAGGTAAATAATCCAAAGTTCTTTAGTATTTTTGTTATTACTTTTAAAAATAGTGCTCGATACAAAAGTAGAGCATAAATATAATTATTTATTTAAAAATATGATTCCGTTTTCGGCTCTTGTTTTGAAACATGAGAACTGTTGTAATCATATTTTTAAATAAATAATTATATATATACATACATATATATATATATATATATATATATATATATATATATATATTTTTAAATATTTTAAATAAATAATATATACATATATATATATATATATATATATATATATATATATATATGTATATATATGTATAATTATTTATTTAAAAAATATGATTACAACAGTTCTATATATATATAAATGGTTACTTAATTATATATATATAAAGACCTAAACACGATTTACAGACGGGGTATTGGGAATCTCTTGTTTTATTTTTTGTTTTTATTCTTGTGAATAAAAGATCAAAAAGGGGAAATACAAGTAATCAGTTCAGGATCTTGCTCTAGGTAGGTAGAAGCCGGCCATAAAATCCTTACAGGAAAAAACAACCAAAAAAACACCTCATGGAAGACGATAATAGAAGGGTCGTTTTTTTTTTTTTTTTAGTTGATAGTTCTCTCTCACAGCACCTTTAGTGCAGTTTTAAATTAGCGATTCACTTCACACACCCCGTCTCTCTGGTTCTTTCTCTGCCACATCCTCGGACCTTTTTCCGGTCTCTGACTTCCGGGTCATGACCTTGTTGATTAATACCAACTTTCAGTAGAAAACTAAAAAGAAACAAACTAAATGACAAAAGTGGAGTCGATATCAATACATACATACATATATATATATATATATATATATATATATATATATATATATATATATGTGTGTGTGTGTGTGTGTGAGAATATTTTCACGCAGATTGATTTTAAATTAACTGAAGGAACATTAGGCAATCTTAATTTTTTTGAAAAAGAAACAAAACAGCAAAAAATAGCCAGAATGAAACGTTTTGGGAATTTGATCTCTTAAAGGATTTGTGTATCCTTTCTCTCATCTCTTCTCTCTTTCACTCTCTCATTCCCCTTCTCTCCCCCCCCCTATCTCTCCTTCACTCTCATTCCCTCTCTCTCATCTGTTCTCTCTCATTCTCTATTTCTCTCTTTCCATAAGCCGCTCTCTCTCTTATTCTCTCTCATCACCTCTCTCTCTCTTATCTCCTCTCAATGCTTGATCATCATCTTTCTCTCACTCACTGTCATTCTCTCTCACTCATCTCCTCTCTCTCACTCATCTCCTCTCTCTCCCATTCATCTTTTCTCTCTCACTCATCTCCTCTCTCTCACTTTCTCTCTCACTTATCTCCTCTCTCCCACTCTCTCAATCATCTCTACTTCCTCTCACTCTCACTCTCTCATCTCCTCTCTCACTCTCTCCCTTTCTCTTTCCCTATTTCTCCTCCTCTCTCTCTCTTGTTTCTCTCCTCTTTCTTTCTTTCTTTCTTTCTTTCTTTCTTTCTTTCTTTCTCTTCTAATTTTTTTTTCTTTGTATTTTTTCTCTTTTACTTACATTTGTCTCACTTTTTCTTTCTTTCCATCTCTTTCTTTTTTCCACCGCCCCCTCTTTTTTTGATCGTATCCAAAATTTGGTATTAACAGTCACGACGTGTCGGTCATCTTATCGTTCAGTGTCCTAAGCGAATCAGTCCTGTGGAAACTGTAGCCCCTACCAGGATTTAGTATCGGTGTGCAAAATCTTAACAACGTAAGATACGCTCTCGGCTTGGTATTAACTACAGGAGCCTCTAGACAAGGTAGTAAAGGAAAGTTGGATAAAAGGACTAACTATTAAGTCTAAGAAAACAGAATGTATGATTGTCAGCAAAAGAAGAGATTCCAGCTAAGTGTAAGGAATTGGAGATGTCAATATCAAGCGAGAACAGAAGTTTTAATCTCCGCAAAGTTATCACAGGTAGAACATGAAAAATATTGTAATTTTTCACTACCGAAAAAAGCCAGGTGAAATTTGCTTTGAAAAAACAGTAAATATTCTGATTAAAATTTTTAGCAAGAAAAGTTGGTTATTCAATACTTGTTGGAAGTGTATGAATCTGACGAAAAAAGATAACAAAAATTTTGTCGCATATACTGGAATCATTAACAAAGAGTGTGAAAGATTCAAATTAAATGAACTGAATCCGGATATTTTTAAAGGTTTAATTTTCGTTCAATGCATAATGGTGAATAAACATGCAGAAATATGTGCTAGAGGTCTAACGAAACTTGAACAGAATCAAAATTTAGCACTACAAGAAATATCAGATGAATGTCAAAGAATCCTAAATCTGAAATGCAATGCTGAAGAAATTGAAGAAAAAGAAGTTGCTTACATACAAGCTAAAGAAAATGTGGAAAAAGAAAAATTAATCCATTGTTTCAGATGTGGAAATTTACATCTTGGAATCAACTGTCTCCTTAAAAATAAAATATGTTACAAGTGTAGAAAAAAAGGACATAAAAAGTCACGCTGTAAGACTAAAGGAAAAGTTCTCACAGCAAAAAAATTCGTACACAGAAAACCCAAAGAAAATATGTATATGGGAAAATAGTGTAAATGTAAATATTCAATTGGACGCTGGTAATGATATCACAATCATCAACAAATCTCCATGGAAGGTAAATGGAAAACTTATATTAAAAAAGTTGGAATAATGCAAAATACGAGGAAACGGATAAATTAAAGAAACTATGCAAGAATGTTGAAATGCTAAATAAAATCAATTCACCCCAATCAAGGCGATAATGCTACTAAGACACAAAGGGCTACCGGAAGTGATAAAAGAATGAAAAATACTTTGGAAAAAACCCGAAACCCAATCCTAAACAGGAAAGAGGGGATAAACCTCTACTCCTGTTCAATAAACCGGATACGTGTATGAACCGGACGATAGCTTACTGGTGAGTATTTGTACAGAAGGATGTTCATAATATTTTGGGGGTCAAGGACCGTTGTAAGAACGAGATAACTTAAAGACAAAGCTTACTAAGAACTATAAACAATAGGAAGTTGTGGCGGGCCATGATCACCCATATCCTAATGGGACACAGAACATAGAAAAAGAATTATAATTATAAAAAAAATAATAATGATGCTTTTAAATAATGTTTGAGTTTTAACCTCATTGGGAACTCTGTATAAGCGACCTTGTTTCAGCGTAAATAAAGCTTTGTATACATGTGTTATTCCCGTCACATATGTTAACTCACGTGCAGATACATGTTGTAAATAAATTCGACCAAAAATTGATAAAAGGCTTTTATTATTATTATTATTATTGAATTACACGTAGCTATTCAAATACGTACTATGTTTCTGTATGTGAGTGCGTGGGCGTTTTGCGTACGCTAGTCTCTGTGTATGTGCGTGTTTGTTTACGTCTATGTCTGTGTGTATGTTTATTTTTCGTGTGTGTGTGCGTGAGATTTAAGGACGCATGTCTTTGTCATAACAAAATTATAGATTCACATTCACACAGGAGCGACTTTGTTCCCATTCAACAGGTGTTCGAGTCTGGACAGAGGTCAGATTTTCAATGCCATCCAGAAAAGAATTGTTTTTATGACCTCTGTTTGAGGTCAACAGTGATCAAATCTCCTGAGATCTCAAAGGCTTTCTTGGGATTCTTACTGTATCAATGACCTTTTCTTTCCTTTATCATTTTAATTGATTAAAAAAATCCCTGTTGCCTCAAGTGATCACTTCATCTGTGGAGAGACTGACCAACATACACTACCATACTACAAATACTAATATTAATGCCAGTTCAACATTCTTGTTTAGTTTCTTGTTTCTACGTACTTCGTTATTCGTAATCATTCACCCAAGCAAGACAATAAAGCCACTAAGGCGCAAAGGGTTACTAAGTGTGCGGTAATATGAGAAAATAAAACATTAAATTTATGAAAACAATAAAAGAACAGAGATTAAGAAGACAGAAGATAACGATCGACATTGCATTTAAATTGTTGAAGATGAAAATGGACTGAGAAGCAATAAGCCGGAAGCAAGGAGTGCAAGTGAAGAAACTGCTAGCATAGAACTTACGGTGACATCTAGATATTTCAACTGTAAAATGATAAGACCTTGCCGCCAATCAAGTACTGCGCTTAAATTCATAAAGTCTACGTACCAAAGAGGAAAGCTCCTCAGAAGAGTTATCACAGAAAGTGCGCTGAGAACCTACGTTATAATAATGGGGAAAATGAGAGCCGAGTTCGAATTCCAGTCGAATCCATTACATTCACTTACATGCTAATAGACTTGGAAAGGTATTAATCCTCTTCTTAACACTCCAGCTATGGGTAAATAGCAGGACAGACTGGGTTCAATAGCCTTGGATGGCAACTCTGAATTCAAAACCTGTGGAAGGTCATTTGGGGACTTCGTGGTACGTAGTACACAAGGTCTCTGTATTCGACCCTTCAAAAAGTGTGGTTGGCTCTGCACAAAACGTTTACCACTATAATCAAATCACATGTGCTAGTATCGGGCTGTTGGTTTCTAGGAACTGAGCTGCTGGACCCTCATACATCGAATACGACAGGAGAGTTCACTATATATATATATATATATATATATATATATATATATTATATAAACTTCAACCTTGTATATATATATATTGCTTATAAATTCGACCTTGTCTACCGAACGCTTCTTTGTGGCCGATCGGTAAGGCACGTCAACTTAATATATATATATATATATATATATATATATATATATATATATATTTTACCCCTCTCTTTAGCTATAACATTCGTCCCACACTCTCATACTTACACTCTCTCTAAATTCTATTTTTATTTCCGGAGTCTTTTTTTTTTCTGTTTTCTTTTTGAATTTGTAGGTCTGATGAATTGGATCGTATTTACGATTCCAATGGAATAAATTATAGCCATGGAATATTTTAGTGTTTTAGCCTTTTTTATATATATATATATATATATATATATATATATATATATATATAATGGACTCTCCCGTCGGTTTCGACGTATGAGGATCTAACAACTTAACCAATTGATTTAGTATGGTAATCTTAAGTGTTTGACAATGTTAAATAATATTTCGACAGTATGTCTGTCTTCTTCAAGTTATATCTTTTTAAGTATGAAAATATATACATCTACAAAAAAATCGTAAGTCTTTGTACCAACGTTATTTGTCTTGTAATGAAAAACACGGCTATACTGGTAATCAACACGCCAAAACGAATGAAACATCACCAGTGTGAAGGCATGAAACATGTATAAATTTTATGGATCTCTGCTGTTCATTTCCCCCGGACCGGAAGTAATTTGCATACGTAACCATTCTTATGCGTTTTAAAGATCGAAAAGTCGGTAGATTCTGAATATTTTTTCAGAATGTGTACCTTATTGGAGTATTGAGGCGTATTGGAAGAGCCAAGGAAACATCTCAAAAGCTAAGCAGAGTAATAAGAAATGAGAAAATTTTCTCTAGAAACAAGGAAAAGAGTATGAAACTGCTAAGTGATATCTGTTGTCCTGTATGGCAGTGAGTGTTGGACAACCTCCTCGAAAATAAAGAGGAGACTTGAAACAGCAGAAATGGGGTGATGCAGAAGGATGCTGAGGATACCGTAGACCGAACATGTGAGCTATGACGAAGTTTTAGAGAAAATGGAAACAAAAGGAAACTATTACTTAACATCAGAAAGATACAGCTGACGTATCTGGTGCTTATAATGAGGAAAGAGTGCTTGGAAAATCTGATACTCATAGAAATTCATGAAGGCAAAAGGATCAGAAGAAAACAACGCATAAATGGCGGAGTAAGGCTTATGAGAAATAACAGTAAAGAGCTACAAAGGACAAGAAGATGTGAAGAGCAATGATCGCCTACGTCCTGAAGGGACACGGCACATAAAGAAGAATTAAGCAGATTATATTGACTTATTTGAATAATTCCATAAATGTTTTTTTTAATACGTTTGACAAATTTTTCGCAATCTGAAATATCAGACGACAACAATGCTTATTATTACGAACGCTAAAATGTTTTCTAACTAATGACTGGATTTTAACAAGGCGTATATAATTTATTTCTGTACAAACATGATTAATTAAAAAAAAATTGCTTATATATGGCAATTTTAATAATTTTGAATTAAAAATAAATAACCATTTATAGTCTTTACATCGTTCAGAGTGTTGTTTTCATCTTTATGGCTATATTCAGGGTGTTTCGGTAGTTGAACGCTTCGGCCTTCTTTAGATGATATACGTTGGAATTTTGAACTGATCATCGGAGCGTAAAATATCGGAAAATGTGTAATTATAGTAATAAAGATGAGAACAGCCCGAACAATGTAAACAGTAGTTACTTTGCCGCACTTCAGAAATATAGACAACAAATAAAGTATTTATTAAAATATTTGCTTTTAAAAGATTTTATGCAAATTAAAAGTTACTGCTTTAGTTGGAACTGGCATTTTTTAGTTATATTTCTAAAAGAGTGGTAGTAATTGCCTACTTGAGAAATAACACTGTGAGATGCCCCAACCCTGGGGAAACAGCTGCCCGATGTTGCACCCTCTTATTGAGGGA